TATCTCTTAGAGATACGACAGCCAGGGAAAAGATGAAGATAATCATGGGAGTCAAACAAGAAATGAAGGAGAACATATTGGCGACTTTCGACGTTGAGTTGCTCGTGGAGGAAGGTTGAGCGACAATTGGGGTAGAATGTATATTGAGATGATCAGGGGCTTCTGTATACAGGAGGAGAGTCTGAGCAGGAGCTGTGGCCTACCAGGCGCAACAGTCTTGCCACTATATTCACTACGCAGCTCTTTCCTCCGATTCGAGAACCAACAATCCAAGAACAAGAGTGAAGGAGGGTGCTGACCGAGTATACAATGACGCGTTTTACCTTGAGCGACATCGCTACCAAGACAAACGCGACACTCCATCTACATGACCAAAGGCAAACGCAAACTGCGTCAAAGACGTCACAAGTACACTCTCCCCTCATCTTCTCTCACCAAATACGAGGTCACGCTGGAAAGCAAGCGTCTCTCACCTCGGGATTAGCTCCACCCACAGGGATATAAAGTCGTCTCCCTCCGCGCCTTCTCTCCTCTTTTCTCTTCTTATCAACATAGACATTGAGGCAACTTCGGCAACATCCACACTTTACTATATCTTCTTTGCTTCCTTCAATTCGAACCGACTTCTATATATACTTATCAACCCTAACTTATCCACTTCAAATTCAACAGCAATATCAACCTCATCAACATGTCCAGTCCCTCAGGAAACCAGCCTCCTAGGCGTGGCGGCGCTTCCTCATCTGGCAGTCCATACAACACTCCTCGCCACGGTCGCATTACCTCTCGCACGGGAATTGAGCCCCTGTCTCCTCCTCAAGCCCAGCAGCCCTCTATGCCCAACCACCGCGCTCCACCAACAGTCCATCATCTCCGGGAAGAAGAGCCAAACCCCCTCCAACGCTGGAACGGCTCTTCTGTAAGCCCCTTCATGCGCTGGGCCTACGCAGTTACCGATGCCCGAGGTGCCGTTCGTCCAAACTACAACTACGACCCGGACATGAATAACGCCATCTACCTCAGCGAGACTATTGTGAGTCTTCCTCTACTTCCTCTCCACCCGCACCTACACCTCCAGAGTACCATATACTAACACCACCCCACAGGACGACTTCGACCGCAACCCCTCCCTCGTCCACGAACTCGTCCTCCGCATCGCGAACCCAGACCTCGGCCATCCCTCCATGGATTGGATCCGCGCCAACCGCTCTCTCGTCGACATCCTTCTGTATCGCCACTACCAGCGCTACGGCGGTCTGATGCTACCTCCGACGGCGGCGGCGCTCCAGGCCATGCAGCAGCACGAGGCCGCAATCGCTGCTGCTAGGGCCGCTGGTGTGCATCCAGACAACTATCCACACATCATGTTCCCGGCTTTTGGACCGCCGCCGCCGGGTGAGGGTGAGGTGGGCTCACCTGGTGGAAAGGGCAAGGGGAAGATGCCGCCGGAGAAGCCGTCTGGTTCTCCTCCGGGTAAGGGTAACCCGTTTGGCAGTATTGGAGATAGGGGTGGGTTTGGCCGTGGAGGTCCGAGTGGTGGCGGGGTTTATTATTGAGTAAGTTGTTCATCTCCTGGCTCAGATATAGCGTGTCGTTTGAGGTTCTCGAAGGCCTTTGTGACTTCCTGGTTGTATTATAGCACTGCTTTGAAGGACCGCAAAGACTTCGAGAACCTCCTGGCTACTTGATACTGGAACTCTTTGGACGGTTTCGATACAGCCTAGCTAACCTCGAGTAGTTCACCCGAGATCGAGATGGTGGGAAGAAAGACATGTGATTTACTACGGAGACGACTTGAGACGGCTTATTGCTGAGAAGTTATAGTGTGAGATGACTACATGGGTTGAAATGAGATGGTTACATACATAGACACAGAGATTGGAAGATGAATATCAGAATATCATTCGTATCATTACTATCATATGACCATTACCATACTTTTTATATCTACAACCCACTCTTCTCGTTCTTCTCATCCCTAACACTAAGAGTCTCAACATTCTCAGCATCGCCAATCTCACGGCCACCCACGTACTTGCTCTCCTTCATGTTGTTCATAGCATCTTCCTGAGCATCTGCCTTGCGGAAGGTGAGGTAGAAACCAATACCACCGAACATGGCAACAACAGCAACGGAACCATAGTTCCATACGAGCAGCGGGTCCTCAGACAGACTGACAAAGGCCTGGCCGAGAGCGGCGGAGACAGCGGAGGTGGAGAGGGCAACGGCCTGGATGGTGGACTTCATGTTGTTGGGTGCCTTGGTGTACGCGTACTCGAGCTTGGTGATGGAAGCGAGAATCTCGGACATACCGATCAGACCGTAGGGGAAGGCTTGGACCCAGACGGAGATGTCGGCGTTGCAGTCTTTGCGTTCCTTGCTGAGAGCGTTGATGTTGCTGCCGCAGGGTGACATCTTGTAGATGTAGTATTGGATGACGCAGGCGGACACCATGGCGAACGAGGAGAGAGCGAAACCAGCAGTAATCTTCTTAATGGGCGAGAGGTTGACACCAGCCTTGCGGAGAGCGGGGTATACGAAGAAGTCCATGATTGGGATAAGGATGACGATGAAGATGGGGTTCAGCTTCGAGACAATGTCGTTGGGTGTCTTTCCGAGGTTCATGGTGTTGGCTTGAGAGACAAGGTTGTTGGTCATCTGGTTGTACGCGAGCCAGTAGAGAGGGTACCACAAGAAGACCTTGCAAGCGAGGATACCGCGCTTGACTTCATCAACCCAGGCATCGTCAAAGGTCATCCAGTCAGGGACAGCTTGTCCGCTGGCACGGAGAGCAGTAGGCTTGATCCTGTCCCAGAAACCATCGTCCTTGAATGTGTTCTTGCGGGGTGACTGCTTGATACCGAGACCGATGAGCTTGAAAGCCTTGCCCATGACGGATCCAGTGGGAGGCGAGAGCTTGTAGTGCTTCTTCATCGTGATGAGAATGATGGGGCAGAGGAGGTAGCAGATAGTGGGTAGCGTGTAAGAGAGCCAGAAACCGACGAAGTGCTGGATGGCGTTAGTGAGGTCATACAATGCAGTCTGATTCGGCACATACCTCTGAGTAAACCATGGCGATGGAACCGCAGATAGATCCACAGTTGATCAGGAAGTAAAAGTAGATGTAGATACGCGCAGTGGTAGTAGCGGGGTCGACAATCTCCTTCTGTCCATTCTTCCTAACACGGACGTAGGCCTTCTGGTCCTTGTACTGTTCGGCGATGAGTGGGGAGATGTTACTCTTGAAACCACCAGTTCCAAAACCCATAACGACGAGGCCGACAGCGAAGACACCGATGGCGACATTGGGCTTAACGATAACTGCGGGGATAGCAGACATAATCAGGATAATGTGGCCGATAAGAGCGATAAGGTTAGAGTACTGGATGGTTTTGTAACGTCCCCAGTACTCGTCAGCGAGCCATGCACCACCGAGAGGCGTGATGTAAGACCAGAACTGGTTGAACATGGTGAGACCGGTGGAGGCACGTTGGCCCATGTCCAGAGCACCGGAACTGACGCCCTTCTTCAAGAAACCAGCACCAGTTGTGGAACCAGGAGGCAATGGCTTTTGGATGAAGTCTGGTAAAAGTCAGTGCATGCCCAGATATAAGGGCTATCAATCAACTTACTGACGAAGACGGCGCTGGTACCGTAGTAACTGAAGCGCTCAACGAACTCAACAGCAGCCACAGTCCATGCTTGCCACGGGATGCGACCAGCAACCCTGGGAAGAGTCGCCCATTCCTCCTCAGTAGGGAAGGGACCCAAGAGGTTGGTGTTCTCATCGAAAGAACCAGTGGAGCTGGTGTCGAGCGGGATAGGGTCCATAGCAGTGGCGCCCTTGGTGATCTCAAGAGACGCCTTGACGTTGGTGTTGGCCGCCATTGTGCTGGAGAGAACTTGAACTAAGTTCAGGTAGAACAAAGGTAACAAGGTACGACCGCGAAATTGAATGCGCGGGCGGTGGAATCAAGTAGACGCAACGGGCGATGAACTTGAGTGCCTGCGGTCCAGACAGATGTACCATGCCCCTCTTCATATACACCCAAGCAAACTCCAAGACCGAAGCTCTGGACAAGAGTTGCACAAGGGTCGCACGCGACTATCGATGGTGCCCACCCTCGCCATGGCAGTTCGTTCGCTCGGTTCCCGCGTTATCACAGCAACATGCACATAACAGCCATCCAAGACCATGGAACGGCGCCTAGTCCGGTCGGAGGATCATACAAACCAGCTCTTCAGGCATACTGCCGCAGTTAAGCGCGTTGGTTAGAGGCATCCAAGGCCGTGGTAGCCCCAGGATCAGGATAAGATAGGAATGAGCGAAGGACTCGAGCGCCAATACGAACAACCAGCCTTGTTCCATGGGCGCGGCGGAACGTTCGAAAAAGACGTGCCAAGCTGGGCTAAGCAGGAAAAGATAACGCTCAGGGAAGCTTCCCATGGGGGCGCGCAGGACGCGCCAAGCCAGTATCCATCTCTTGGTCTTGTCACCTCCCCTTCTGGCCCTAGTCACGATTGCGACGCGCCTGAATGGATCTAGGATCTCCGCCCGGATGGTAGCCAAGACCTTGGACGTAGGGTTATCAGTATAAGCGTTTCATCACGGTTACCTCCTTCTGCAATGGATCACGCGCGAGGTGATGGCTGATGGGGCGTGGTTGCGACAGGGCGTTGGAAAGTTGGAGAGGTTGGTGTTGAAGCGGCGGGTGTGATTGGTGTTCAGATAGACCTCACGCTATCATTCAAGCACGGACCTGCTAGCGGAAAACTGGCGGAAGGCGTGGCGGAATGATCACCGCACCAACGAACTTCTTTTGATTTGACATCTATGGGTATCTACTTCCGAGAGGATGGAGGTGGTGACATCCACTGAGGCAAATTACTACCAGCTGCCAACCACCATTTCCCCAAAACTTTTGCCCTTATCTCTTCTCTTCTCGGTCTCACCGAAATCTCACTTGCCCACTTGCCGGAAAAACTCGTCTCACTCCCAATCAGCCGTCCCGAATCAGTTGTAGCCATTGCTGGATCCTGCTGGTGGTCAGTGATATGGGCGTTGTAGAATTGATCTGGTGGGTATCCGAACCTGGATAGAACTCCTCCGCGTCAGGGCGAGGCACGTGAGTGCTTGCGCCAGATCCTGAAGGCGGTTGCTGAGGACGTCTTGGAAGACCTTGAGACGGTGCCTGGCCTTGGCCTTGTTGACTTCCTGAAGATCCGCGACCACGTTGAGCAGTTTGTCCTTGATAACCCGGAAGGCCGACTTGCTGCTGCGGCATTGTGAAACCGCTGCTTGCTCCCGTCTGAGAAGAGTAGTCTTGGTGGCTGGTGTACATCATTTGGCTACCAGTCCAACCACCAGGATACTGCTGTTGGTAGGACTGCATAGGATAGCCGCCCATAGTCGGCGCAGCCATGTAAGGATTGCCATACCCATACTGATAAGTCGGGTAGCCATACATCCCCGGAGGTGGGTTTGATGGGAACTGAGATGACGTCTGTTGCATGCTCGGAGGAAGATTTGGTCCTTGACCAAAACGACCACCGCGGTCCGAACGTCCAACGAAGTCGCCACGAGGCTGCGAAGGCCGACCCCTTCCACGACCGTTTCCGCGACCATTTCCACGACCTCGCTCAGCCTGAAGACTGGCTAGTTCCCTCTCCAGTGTCGCATTCCTTGCTTCGAGCACTGCAACAGAAGTCGCGCGCGCTGGGGCAGGTTCAGCTGGAGATGCAGTTGACGGCCTAGTACTAGTGTGTCCTGCTCGAGGAAACTCCGGACTCGGGTTGTCTCCCAAGGAATACAGCATGTACGATCCGTGTACAATAGCATGGCGGACAAAGATACGCAGGCAGTACTGGCTGCCTTGCTCGGTGACAGCGATGAACTTTGACATTTCCGCAGGTGTCAAGAGTTCGGAGTTGAGAAGGCAGAGGCGGAGACGTTCGATTGTGAACGGGAAGTCTTCGTAGTGTTCCTGGGGTGTATGCGTCAGTGCCTGTAATTAAGAGATGGCGGCGTGGCTGTTGGGTGTCCCAGGTGTACTTCACGTATTTCTCCGCCGTTGTGTGGCTTGGTGGGGATACAATGTGTGCTCCTGGGCTGACTGATGGGGAGTAAGTTAGCGTCCGGGTTACTTACGAGAAGATGCAGGTTCGACCTTCCGAAAACGACCTGGCGGTTCCAATCCATTGTCGTCCTGCGCTCTTCTGGGTAGACCCGCTGGAGGAAGGGGATGAGCTCGGCGTCGACCCAATCTTGGTCGATTGGTGCAGGGGAGGAGTTGAAGACAGCAGGGGGGGTTCGGCCTGCCATGATAGTGAAGAAGGTAGGAGTGGAAGTAGACCGAAGATCGAGTCAAGTATCAAGTTGAATTGTAAGAAGGTAGGGTTTACTCGATTGCAGTCAAGTCGCGTAGGTGTCGTGTGTGGAGAGGAAGAAAGGAGTGTACTCCTGACAGTATCGATAGATTATATACACACAGGCAAGTGAAGGGCCCAGCAGGTACCCGCATTGTTTTGTCTGTTTATCTTGCTCACTCCCTCCTTCACTTTGTTCTTTCGACGTCATTCCCGCAGTTACCCGCGCCTTTTTGCTCACTTGACGAGCACGCGATTGCTTGCGTCGGCGCCACGTTAAGTCCGAGCAAACGCAGTTGTATACGACCCGACGCGCTGGTTTTTATCTCCGATCAGGTGAAGGAGAATTTGAGGAGTTGGTCCTTCACCTTTCACGATGTTCGCAGTGAGAGGAGGATGCAACCGAGTTTGGATTGCGTTTTCAGTAAGTAGTCTGTGTACGACGAGGCACTGTGATAGCAGCAATCAAGTTTGTAATTCTTTTGAGACTAGTACTGTGATGATGCGGAGGGGCAACTGAAGGACAATTTGCAGTCTCTGATATACTCGTACGAAACGATACCCTCGATGAATACCTCGCAAAGGTACCAGCTGTTGCAGCGTCGGTGTTACCCAACTTATGTTCTTCCGTCATGTGAATAAACTAAACACGCTTCATTGGTAGAGGCAGTGGCAGATGGAGTAAGTCGAATAACTCTGCTTTCATTCAGACCTCTCTCTGTATTTGACAGCGAACACACTCTGGTATATATCGAACCTAATCGCTAACAAAACATGGATATGCCAACAATGCTTAGAAAGTCCTAACAAACCAACACCCCTGATTCCCTACATGCCAATAGTGATATCTCGTGTCACATTTTGCTCCGAAACGCCAAGACACAAAAGGGTAAAAGAAGGAGAAGCGCCTGTCTTCTTTGTCCAGAAGGGTGTGGAGTAGAAGAGAGAAGAGGAAGGAAATCGAGAAGCGAGCCTCGCGCTTGGTGGTAACAAAGGAAAATGTACATCTGCGGTATTCGATGTGTGGTGGTGGTGGTTATGCAAGCCAGCTAGTCTTCCAAGTCCAGCAAGCCGGGAAGGGAAGTGAAGTTTTATATCTTCCTTCGAACAGTGAACTTGCGCTCCATGGTCGCAGCGGGTAAGGCTTCAGCGAAGGTATCGCGTGCTGTTATTCATATCAGCATTGTCCCTTTTATGAAATGATGTGGGCATTACTTACTCTCAGCAGAATCAAACATGATGAGAATATCATCATGCTCGCCCGGATACTCAATCTCATCTAGACAAACAAATCGTCTCTTCGTACCAGACCAACCGGTAAGTCTGCCCTCCGCCTTTTGGATTTTGCCCTCGCCCCTGCGCTCATCGACCGGAAGAGCGAATTTCGCATCGACAAGCTTGAGTCCGAACTGACCGTTCTTGTCAGTCTTTTGGAACGTATCGGTGAGGCGGAGCTGGAAGTTCATGGCGTCGGCGTGGGAGAAGTCTTCGAAGAAAGCGAGGAGTTGGATGATGTTATCTTGCTCGACGATTTGGAGTCGGATGCGTGTGGCGGTCCATTGTTTGTAGATAGGGACGACCATGCGGCGACGGGAGATGGAGAAGGAGTTTGCGAGACTGGGATAGTGTTAGCTAAGTGTCAGAAGGAACAGTGATGGGGGTAAACATACCCGTCGAATTTCACGTGGAAACCAGTAACAGCCAACTGGAATGTGTGGAGGTCGTTGAAAGAGTTGAAGGTGAGTCGTCGGATTGTCGAGGCGCTTGTGAGTGTCTTCAGAAGCTTGGCTAGTTCGTCGGGGACGGCGGGGTCAGTTCGGCTGCTGTCGACAGCTACAGCCATGTCTTGTTGAGCTTCGCGGAGGAGTGTGAGTTCGGCGGCTCCGTCGACTGGGAGGCGGACTAGAAGTTCGCCAGATCCTGGAAGTCGTTAGTATCGCATTGCTCATCCGAGAAGATTCAACTTACCCAAGTTCATGCGGTCAGAGATGATACCGGCTGTGTGTCGGCACATGATCCTCAAACTCTCACTCTTGACAGTGGGTGCTGATTCTAATCCTGCAGCTTCTGGATCCAGGTTCATAACCTTGGCTTCCACCCACTGCAGCTTTTCCAGCACGCGACTACCCTGCGAAGTAAAGCCCTCTGACTGGTCCGCACTCTCAATGTGGAATGCTTTCAGTGCGACTTGAGCGAAGGTAGTCTCACCTTCTGCGACATTCATGGACGTGAATGTGCCAAAGAGGTCGTTTCGGTCCCTGCCATTCTGGAAGACGAGGTGAGCTGCACATGTCCTCAGTTTCTTATCCGCACCCTCTTCCCGGAAGCGTAGTTTCAACGCCGGAGCCTGGTTAGCTTCGGTGACGTATTCGAAGTTCATGGGCTCCTGCTTTGTTCCGAGCTCATGGTTGATCAAGCAGACTTGCTTAGTTTGCTGCGGCGTGACCAGAACCATACGGTAGCCTCGATGCAATTTTCGCTTTCCTGTACCTTCACTACTTCGTTCGATCCTTTGGAACACCATCAGCTTGCAGCCTTGAATCCGATCGCCTGGCCATGCTGATGGGTTTGCAGGATCCCGGTAGCTCGCCTCCTGGAGGTACAATTTGCAAGCAAAGCGCTCGTCTCTCCGTTCTCGTAGGTCTGACTCGACTCGGTTCGTGTGGTTGACAATAGACCAGAGACTACGGAAGTCACTTTCGTGCAGCGCAAGTGTCAGAACAAATCCGTGCTTCAATTGAACAGTAAGCTGTGAAACCTGCTGCTTCCAGCTGACGTCTTTCCAGCCAAGTACTGATCCGGAGCCCACGAGAAGGTTGATGAGGCTGTTCTGGCTGCAGATGGCCAACTTGACTTGATACTCCTCCTTAGACCGCATGACAGAAACAACAGCATCCATCGGAACGCGATCGGTGGCAGGGTCATCGGTTGACACTGAGGCTTTGACGAACATGCGGAAATAGCAAAAGTCGGTCTTGGTGTCGGAGAGGGGTATGTACTGAGATAGACTAAACTGGCTGCCGCTGGGAGCAGGAAGGCCGGAAGTGAGCACGCTCGCCGCGTCTGCGGGGAATGTCGGATACTCCTCCCAGATCTTCTGGTCTTGTCCCTGGATAAGAGCTTGCGTTGGAGGCATGCTCTGGTGCTTCTTCATCGACCCCACCAGCAATTTGAGGTAATGAGCAATCGCATTCTGTATATCAAAAACCTCCGCACTCGCATGGTCTCCAGCTTGTCTTGCCATACCGACTTGCGCGTCGGGGGACGAGTTGCCGTACCCCTGTAAGCTGGGATGGTTCGGAAGGACTTCAGAGATGATCCACCACACTTTGGCCAGGTCGACATGCGGTTGAGCCAGTCGCTCTTGTATCGGTTCGGCAGACTTGGATTGACTCCTTATCAGGTTCTCCATTCCAGTACGTCCTTTCAAGAACCACCAAGTAGCTACTCTGAGCCATTGCATCGGCGAGTGATTGTTGAGGTTACCCCCGAGCTGAGCTGTCAGCTGGAAGATGCCTCTCATGTGCGTGATGCGCTCGGCAAAGTCGCGGTATGCAGAATCATTCGCAGATCTTGTATCCGAACGAGCGAGAGGAGCAGCGGGTTTGGCGCTGGTACTGGCACCAGATGCATTCCGAGACGGCAACTGACTGGGAGGTCCTGAGATTGCTAGAGGCTGGGGAAGTGAAGAAGGTTGCAGCTGAGGTTGAGCAGACGAGAAATAAGATGTACTCGGGGGAAGTTGGGGTGGAGTTGGGAGGTTTGGGCTGTCGTCAAGGGCTCCGAAAAGAGCGTTCTCTTTGATCGACGGAATCCGTTGTACGTTCGTATTGATAAAAGGATCCGACCGTGCAGCAGGAGAGGCGCGTGTCTGTGAAGGGGAAAATGCGACATATTGGGATCTAGACGCGGATGGTGGTGATTGCGCTCCCGGTCGTCCTGGGGAGGGCCCACGGGCTCTCGATCGTTCAGGGTCCTCAGTGTCTAGTCTCATCCGAGGAGATCCCCTGGAATCCGACTGTGGTGTCTCTAGAGGTGTTCTGGCTGCGGCAGGTGTGGCATACGAGGAAGGAGGTGTGCCCACGAGGGACTGCTGTGAGCTCGTCTCTGAGTCCCGTCTTTGACCCGAGGCTGCCCGTTGCGATGCCTCATGCAGTGTTCTGCCCTCTTCCGATCGCATCTTTTGTTTCACCCTCGCAGCGAACGAACTCGGACCGTCGTCGTCCTGCTCAGCCAAATGTCTTTCTGGCATCATGGGCACCGAAGGTATCGCATGCACCGGCGAGGGCAGATCGTCGTCACCCAGAGTACTGAAGCCAGTCTGCGTGCGTTTAAGCGGCTTTGGCTGGAAGTCGTCCTCTTCTTGGATAGTGGGTTCGCGTACTGACATATTCCTCGACATGACAGGTGAGAGATTGTCCGAATCCTGTGAATACACAGAGTCCTCGCTGGTGCTGGGTCGCCTTCCAGGAGGGATAGATATAGGCTCTGGTATTCCGTCAAAGCCAGTGGGCGCCCTGGTGAGGCCCTTTGGTCGGTCTCCCAAGCCCATAGATCCCATGTAGCGCGGCGGTGTGGGTGGCAGTTGCGTAGCGTGGGTGTTGATCTGACCCATCTGCATCTTCTGGCCGAGTGGTGGGGACAGCTCGCCGGGATTCGTCCGCGTTCTCGTGAGGTTTGTCCTGTACTCGGTCTGCGAGGGGGTCCTGCCTATGCCATTGCTGCGCGCTCCCAGATTTGCATCGTCCTGCGGCGTCTGAGATTGCACCTTCTCCGGTTCCGGGATCGTCGCTGCCTTTTTGTTCTTCGCGACTTCCACAACGGGGTCCTCACACTCGTCACCGCCATGGCCTATGACTTCGGGGACTGTGCGCACGAAGCTCACGGTGAAGCCCTTCTTGCGCATGCCTGTCTTCAGACCGCCGGGCCCTGGGCTCTTTCCGGCAGCAGCTGCGCTGTTCAGGATCGTCTGTGCGCCGGGCCATCGCTGGGCGCTCGCAACGTCTATGCGGGGTCGGAGGAAGGCTGAGGCGGCGGCAGCGGCGTCCTTTTGCTGCTGGGCGGCGCGGTCGGTCGAGGGCTTGAGGAAGTCGTTGATGTCGTGGTCGTCCGAGGGCGGCTTCGTCTTGGGCTGTGTGGCGGCGGCGAGTTCGTTGGTCTTTTCGAAGATCTTGGTCTTCCAGCGGCTCTTGGAGAAGAGCTTACTCCCGGCATCCTGTGCGTCCACCATGGTGCTGCCCGCAGACCAAGACTGGTGCTATCACTGGTGGTGGGAGGGGTCGTGGGTGGTGGGAATGTACGCCGTGAATGGCGGGTGAGGCGCGTCGGGGTGATCGCGTGCCTGGCGTCGAGGCTGCGTGTGTCGTGTTTGCCGTCCCTGGGGCTCAATTGATTATTGGCGGCGGCGACGTCGGGCTGGCCAAAGTGTTCCGAGAGTCTGTCACTTCTCTAACAGGGTCCGGCCACATGAAACTGCCTGATGCGAAGAACCAATGCCGCCGTCAGGTATATACAGGTGAAAAGAAAGGCAGATGGGAGGAAAGCCACGAAATGCGGACCAAGCCAGGACCCAACAACGTCGTGGAACCGCCGCTGTAGTTGCGGAGTAGTTTATCAGCTAAATTGCCCAGGGTCGAAGCTAATTGCGCGCCGCCCGCTTATCGTTGCATGCCTGCAGCGGTATCCTAAACTCCTTTTGCGTCTGCTGCCTCGGGCTTTCTCTACACGAGCAAGATTTGCGTAAAGCCGTACAGCGAAATTGCGATTCTGCGTCGCTTGCCGGCTACGGCTATGCTTGGAAACGGCCGTCTGCAGATGTCTCGTGTTCGCAGCGCCAACGTCGACACACCCCACATTCAGCCCACCAGATCCCGTCTGTGCGCCGCGCACTCGGTCCTACATTCACCCAGTTACCACATGCGGTCGTATATAATTCCCTTGGCGGCAGCGCCTGCAGTCTGTGTGCGGCTCAAACATTGACCTTGTTGTATCCGGCGCATCGACAATGACTTCTCCATGTGGTTTCCATTGTCATCCCACCACCAGCACTGCCCGGTCTTCTGTGCCCAACGTCTTACTCTATGTACGTAGATCCTGGCCCCAGCTTGTCAAGATCGTCATGACGTGCGTGGCATGTGTTTCACTCTCCTCTTCATGTGCGCACCTCGACAACCCCCTGAGGGACATGGCGACAACAACGACAGACTCCGACTGCTCAACGATACCTCGCTTGCAAGGCTATTGAGAGTCTCCCAAAGGGGAAGACCACAGGATGGGCTATGCCCGAAACAACAATGGAGTTGATAAGGCGCGACAGGGGTAGCGGTTCCTTAGCGTACATCAAGCCTCGGCTGTGCCACCTGGCCGACGTCTAAATATACTCGGAACGAAGGCCTTGACGTTCCGCTTTCACGAACGAACAACACAACACGGCCACAAGAATTTCGCGGCGAAAGGATTGTGCCTTTGGCAGCGCTTCAAGTAATTTTCCCTGTGCGCGTCTCGCGATGCAACACGAACAACCGGTGCTTACTTCAGACGCTAGCGGCCTTGGTCGTCCGCTATTGGCCACATGGCCTTTACCGATATGCAGTGGTGTGCCGACATGGTAGGATTAAGATGAGCGCTCATCTACCAGACTGTAAGCCGTTGGTGGCGCAACCCGAAGAACCCATAAGCAGTAACCACCAAACATCCCAGCAGGAAACTTGCAAATTCGGTAGACCTACAGTGAACGGCTCTGCAGTGTATATCGGTTGGCTGCTAGGGCACATGATGCACAGAAGAAGGAACTGTTCATCTTCATTTGCATCAGCACATCTCTCTACTTCCATGCTTCCACCGAGCATCATGAGAGCCGGTGTTGGCCGATGGATGAATAAAGTACACATTAGACTTCCGACGAACACCAAACCGCGGTCTTCCAGAGCCGCAAGTGGGGCAGAGCCATGCGCCAATGACGAAGAAAGCCCCATACTATCGTCATCGCATCGGCACTCTGAACCCTCAGTACAGTACCCCGCGAAACTTCATCTTCCCCTCATCTCCATAGCTTCTGCCGTCTATTCCATTGCATCACAAAATGTCGTCTCAAGCCAGCTCCGAGCCTCTCCAAACGTACGAAATTTCCGATTTCAAGTTCCACAATGGCACCACACTGCCAAAACTCAAGTTGGCCTACAAGATCCTCAACCCGCACAACAGCAAGATAGCAGTTGTACACACGTGCTTCAAAGGCCGTCTCGACACCACTTTGACACATGCCAACGCCGCTCTGAAGAATCACAAGATCATCCTGATCGCCCTTCTCGGCAATGGCGAATCTTCCAGCCCTTCAAACACGCCCGACTTCCCCAGTACCCTTGAGTACATGGACTGCATCAGCGCTCAGTACTCTCTCCTTACCCAGGAGCTCGGTATCAAAGAGGTAGATGTTATGCTAGGATTTTCGATGGGCGGCCAGATCACCTACCATTGGGTAACAACACACCCTGATTTCATCAAGCACGCCGTAATCGTATGTTCCTCCGCCAAAACTAGCAGACACAACTTCCAGTTTCTTGAGGGACCGAAGGCAGCGCTGGAAAGCGCAAAGAGTCCCGAAAGGGGTATCAGGGCCTTTGGGAAGGCGTATTCAGCGTGGCTGACAAGCGCCGAATGGTTCGACGAAGAATGCTACAAAGAGATGGGCTTCCAGCAACTGCGAGACTGGGATGATGTGGCTACTATTCAGGGTTATGAAGGTTGGACAGGTGACGATCTTCTGGTAATGCTGGGTATGTGGCAGCGCGGAGACATCACTCGGTGCACGAAGGCGGAGGATCTAGAGTCGGCACTCAAAAGCATCAAAGCAAAGATTCTGCTCATGCCGTGCGAGTACGATCAGTACTTCCGTCCTTATGTCAGCGAGAAGGAAGCTAAGAGCCTGGAGAATGCGACGGTGGAGATAGTACCCAGCATCTGGGGACATATTGCGGGTGGCGGGGCCAACCCGAAGGATGTGGATTGGATGGATCATCGGATCAAGCTTTTCCTACGGGGCTTGGTATGATTTTATATAGAGCTATCGAATTTGGGCATACTTATTTTCCCATGTTAGATGTCAATGTCGTGAAAGGTTGGCGACAAGGAATAGCCTACACACGTCAGTAACGTCAAAAGTAATTTCAAACAAACTTCAGAAGTCGGCCAACAAATGTGCATCTCATGTTGACCGAAGTTACTACTGTAATCCATTCAGCCCAATTTTCGCATATGCTCATGTTCTGACAAGGCTGAACGTCAACCGTCCGCATTCGCGTTTCAGCATCCCCGCAAAAAAGTCGATATGTCACCGCCAAGCTCGTACACCCGCTGCCTCACCTGCACCCAGGCACGCTCCAACGTTCTCGAAGCCGCCCAGCGTCTCCATGCGCAAATCCTCCAAACCATCCTCTATATATCCACAACCCACCAACTCACTATAAACCCTCTCTGCAACGATAATAACAATGATCACATCACCCACTTCCTCGTCGGCGTCAGACCACAACACCTCCGATGCCGCACCTGCAGCGACTCGCGGCAACGGCCGTAAGTCACGCGTCTCAGCAGAGCACACGTTGAACCGGGTGCGCGAGAACCAGAGGAGACACCGCGCTCGACAGCGCGATCATGTCGCTTCTCTCGAGCAAAAGCTCGCCGAGACCGAAAAGTTGCTTGAAGAGGCGCGAGCGGAAATCGCCGCTCTGAAAGCAGGAGGATGCGCGGCGGGCTCACACCAACAACCCCAACGAGAGAATACCAGCAACGACGATGTTGAAGAAGGAGCAAGACATGCAGGAGAAGGAAACGCGTCTACATCTCAAGATATACCCAGACCACCCGTTTCCGCTTTAACCGATTCGCAAACCGATTCGCTAGCACTCACATCCATCCAACCAGATCAGCTCATCGACCCGCAACTAGCAAACTACCCTGATGTCCACGGGCATGTCCCAGACATGAGCGACCTTTCCTTCTTGGGCGGATCCTCTTTCTACCTGCCGTCGCCATCGTCGTCGTCACGGTCAAACATGTCGTTGGTATCGCCAACTTCAATCTCAACGTCAACGTCAACACAAGCCCCATCCCTCGACACCCACCTCACAGTAACCAACACAACAACTCTCACGATAACTGGTCCCCCACCCTGCTGCAACGACCCCCCAACTCCAAACTCACCCCCTCCAACAAACACGCTAGAATGTACATCCTGCTCCACGAAACCTCCCCCCTCCCCCAGTGAAAGTACAACGCTCTGCGCCCAAGCCTTCGTCATGATCGGGCAGCAGAACTTCCGCAACCTCGATCCGGATACGATTAGGCTGTGGCTGGCGCAGGGGTTGCGGAGGGCGCAGAGGGAGGGCGAGGGCTGTAGAGTTGAGAATGGTGCGTTGTTGAGGTTGTTAGATTTTATTAGTGGGTTGTAGTAGATGGAAGACGGGAGGAAGTGTACTTGAGGGGAGTTTAGAATATCTGCTGAGTTCGTTTGGGAAGGAGTATAAGGATGGGCGTACGGTGTCTTTCACATCCTCTTTAACGTATCCATGAGAAGATCGCATTGGGAAAGGCCGAGACTCAACGAAGATATATACCGTGCATTTTGGCAACAGGCAACTACATTTCTTTACCGCAATACATCTATGCATATTCATTCATCTCACGCGATTTGTCATACAAGGTGACATGTGAACAGGAGAAATCGTGGACATTTCATTACCTAAACGCTATGCAGAGAAAAAGAGAAAGTTCCCGTATAGTCATACAAAATATGTGTGGAATGATCGCAAAATCATGCTTGATGATCAATTTGGCACGAGCATGCATGAGAACCCGGGTGCCATCAGAGAAAGTGCTTCTAACGTCCCATCCTGATGACACCAGCGTGCACCAGCTTCTGAATCTTGGAGCGGATGCTGGGGTTCTTGAGATGCTCTTGCAGCGCCGCGGGGTCGTCCTTGGCCTGCTGGAGGATGGCTTGCATGACAGGGTCTTGGAGGATGCCAACGATCTGAGTGTGTGTCAGTAGAGCTCTCATGTGAAACATGTATGGGTCGACATACCTCTGGATCCCGCTGGATACGCTCCATAGTTTGTTGCTCAGTCTCACCCTCGCGTGCTGAGTATTGTGCTTGCAGAGCCTTGGCTTCTTGTTGCTGAATCTCACGTGCATTCTTGCCGTCCTTGTCGTGCTCCATGGCTTCCGCGCATACATTAACACACTTGTTGTACTCGCGCATGGTGAAGTAGGCTTGGGCTTTCCGCAGGTATGCTCGGATGAAGTCTGGATCACGCTTGATCGCCTCGTCGCAGTCTGCCACAGCAGATGGGAACTCTAGCAACTTGATGAAGCAGGCGGCGCGGTTGGAGTATCCTCTTGGGTCGTCTGGTGCGCGCTTGATCATCTCGGAGTATGCCTCGACGGCCTCGGGCCAGTTGGACTCCTTGAACTTGGCATTGCCGAGCTCACGCGCCTTCTCAGCCTCTTCGGGGTTGATGTATGACTCCTTCTCTTGTTTGGCCTTGGCCTTTTCCGCTGCACGGAGCTTTGCGAGGACTTCGGGTGTGCGGTGTTCGGTTTGTGCCTTTTGGTAGTATTTGACTGCGTTGGCGAGATCACCCATCTTCTCGTATGCGGTACCGATACGTGCAAAGGCCCTGCGTGTGTTAGCAAATGGCTGGTGTAAGATTGGGAATGACATACTTGGCGATGATCTTGAAGTCGGCCAGGATCTCGCGGCCGTACTCGACAGCCTCTTCACAAGCCTGGATGCAGCCCTCGTAGTCACCCTTCTCAAACTTGGCAGCTCCAAGGTTGGTCTTGTATGCAATGTCCTTGTGTGTCTCCCACGCCTTGTTGTAGTTTTCGATAGCCTCGTCGAATTGTCGCTTCTTGTAGAACTCGGTGCCCTTCTTCTTCAGCTCGTCCGCCTCGGCCTTGGCCTTCTTTGCAGCCTTATCCTCCTCAGACTCTTCTACGGGCTCTGGCTCTGGTTCGGGCTCGGGTGCCTTCTTCGGTTGCTCGGGAGCGGGTCGCGCATCGGGCATCTCGACGTCCTCCTCGGCCTCCTTTGCGCCTGCATCGCCTGCTCCTCCAGCACCTGGGCCTTGACCGAAAGACATGTCGATACCTAGTAGCACGCTCATGACGGAGAGGAAGCGGGGGTCTTGCATGAACTGGCCAGCCATGTTCGGGTTCTTCTGTAGCTGCTGGAGCTTGCCCATGAACTCTGCATCGCCGAGGAGGGAGGCTGTCTTGGGGTTCGCCGCGAGCTTCTGGATCATGTTGGGGTCGTTGAACATGCCACCGAGGCCGACACCGCTGTCGTTCGCCTCGGCTTCGACTGCGCGCTTGACGGCATCGAGGCCTTGTTTTGCCTGAGCATTGCTTGGGTCGAGCTTGAGTGCCTCTTCGAAGGCTTCTGTGGCTGCCACTATTGGGTGTTAGCGACGTCATCTCTCCTAGGAGCGCTATACATACCCAAGTCACCCTCGCCGTGGAGCGCCGTTCCCTTGCGTCCCCAGCCTTTGGCCCAGTCTGGCTTAATCTCGGTAACCTTGTTTGCATCGTCGAGAGCCTTTTGCCAGTCCTTTAGCGAGGCATATGCGCCGGATCGGTTCGAGTAGAGGACGTGATTTTGGGGGTCGAGTTCGATTGCCTGTGAGAACTTCTCGCTGGGATTTGTTAGTAAACCGTCGCTAGGCTGTGTTTGCGGGGACCCTACATGGACTCGGCGAACTTCTTCTCTGCGAAGAGCTTGTTACCCTCGGCTTTTAGTGCGTCGGCCATGGTGGAGGTATTGTGCGTGTGGTTGATTCTGTAATGTGACTGCGAATCTTTTGGTACTACGCGTGCGAGGGACAGGCTCTGAATTATAGTTTGATGGGTAGCTAGAATGTTCGATTGCGGAGCTCTGGCAGGAACGTCCGTGCGGCAGACATCTGGAGGGCGCTCGTCATATACCCCACCACGAGCCTCACCAAACTCACTTTCAGCCTGGTGAGTACCATCTCAGCCCTCTTTCAGCCCTCCAGCCCTCTGCATGCGCGAGTATTTCACATATCAGGTGATGAGATCTAGAGGAATTCGAAAAGAACAATGCGTTTTGTCAATCGCAGACCCAACACTTGTCCCACGCGCTTTGTCGTCTAGCATAATTGCTATGTGATCGCACAGATACCCCATACTGACATCCTGAACAAGTCACCCAAATTTCAGACGATCATCTTGGCCCACCAAGATACACTCTGTCCCTTTAATCAACACCTTTCTTCAAACTTGCCAACCAAATTCCTGTCATGAGCCAGGTCGTTCGTCAGGCCCAGTGGGACGCCGAAGTGGCCTCCAGTGGACACTATGACAAGATTATGGTCCAGAATCTCGAGGTCGTCGTCAACGCAGGAAAAGATGTTTGGGGACGCGAGAAGAAGCAGCGGGCCCTGATCAGTGTCACGTTGACACTCGGAAAGCAGTTCACGTCAGCTTCTTCTACTGACTCCGTCGATGACAGCACTGTGCACTACGGCACGCTCAGCAAGGCGATACAAGCGCGCTTTAAAGATGATTCCATGGCATGGATGTCAACCGTCGCTCTATCGAATGCCGTCTCTCAATGCGTCCGCGATGTCGCAGGCTCGACAGACGTATACGCGATCGAAACCGACGTCTGTTACCTGAAAGGCAGTATGTTTGGCGAAGGCGCTGGACACATCACCTCGCGCGTCGAAGGGTCTGGCACCAGCTCGAACGTACTGTACCTGCGCAACGTCCGCATCCCGTGCCTGATTGGCGTCAACTCCAATGAGAGGCTGCAGAAACAGCCCGTGGTCCTCAATGTCTGGGTTGACAACATGGCTGACTCTCGTGTGGAGGGATACCCTCAGCTAGAAACTTTCTTATTCGAGGTATGCACAGCACAATGTATACGTACACACCGACTGACCAGCGTAGTTGATATCTGGCTCTACATTCCAAACGATCGAGAGCCTGCTTGCGTGGTTGGTCGACGAGCTCAGACAAAGATTCTTCACAGAAGAGGCGGACCAGAACGCGTGGATCAAGCTGAGAATTAGCAAGCCCCATGCGGTACCCTTTGCAGATGCGCCAGCCGTCGAGATAACACGACCCGTACGGTCGAGCTAGGGTGGGGTGGTGTCACTAGCAAACTGCCGCAGCGAGTCAAAGCGTCGCCGTGACTGTGGAAACGTCTGCAGGTTTTCTCGGACGCCAGCCACGGGCACAGCTAACGATGTCTGTTCCTGACTTGTGCTAGGGGAGGTACGTTAGCGCAACCGGTACCGATTCAGTCTCCACTTCCATAGCTGTCCCTGTCTTACAGCCTGACGGCGTGAAGTCGGGAACCGCCAAGCGTCTAAGCTTGTAGAAGCTTCTGCCATTTCGGTTCCTGGTATCGCGAGTTCCTCCAGGCTGGGCCATTGGTACACCTAAATGGTATTCTTGTTGTTGGGCATAATGCGATCAATGGCCCTTGTCGGAATTCGAGAAATAGTCTAAGTAAATTCCCGCAAAGTTTCAACACGGGCATGTGTAGTGGAGGTGGGCGTTCTTGAGGCTGTTGTCGTAGCATGGGCATCGTTGTTGCGTGAATACACCGACTTAGTAGCAGAAGATCCCCCACGTGGTCCGAGCGATGCAGACGTGTACCTGCGCCACTGCCACTTTCCACTTCTGCAGCCACTATCTTTCATCCCAAGTCTCTTCCGCGATATGCAGATGCAAAAGACCCTTGATCACCCGAAACCCCGCTGCATTCGCCTCCGCGTTGCATCGCGCAGTCGCCACTGTGGAAAAAAATGCAACTTTCCCAGCCGGGGAAGTCTGTTGGGGAGCAAGTCGGAAGAGCGGTCTCTGCGCGACGTCAAGCTGACTGCAGCCCCCTGCTAGCGCGGCGGCCAGATGAGGGGCTTTTCAATTTATCGACATAGCTCTCCGAAAAGTTATTCAACAATTGTGCATCGTGAGGTCGAGCAGATAGGCGGCCGCGCAGCCATTCGATAGTCACTGTTGACTCGGGCAGACGCGGGATGGTGCGAAGACTTGGAAGTGTAACTGTTGTGAAGCCACGATACAGTAACGTGGTCAGACCTGAGTGAGAGCTGAGTGAGAAGCTGGGTGAAACAGCTCGAGGGCTGTAATCTGATACCAGAATAGCTGGGGTCAAGATAGCTACTAGCCCAAGCTATTGCACAGGAGGTGTAATGGCTGCACTATGGCTGATGATGGTG